CCAGATTTTCCTTTGTTTTAATAGATTAGTTCTAGAAAAAGGGGGTAAACTCTGAGAATTCATAATACCCTTAGCTCACATATGCTATCTTTACTCCGAGTTCCAATTTTGCCAAATCAAATCTTTAGCCCTAATTTTCCATTTTTTTCGTTTATTACGGAGACAAGTAAGGTAAAATCTGACAATTAATCCCACATGTGGGATACATCCTAGCTTTTCATAATCAATCTTCACCCCGATTTTCCGTTTGTTGAGTCAATTCTGGAAAAACGGGGTAAAATCTGAGTACTCATCCCGTCAATGGAATACATCCCAACTTGTCATTCAATCGTTGTCCCGGTTTTTTGCATTTTTCCAAGAATTCTGTAAAAATGGGGTAAAATCAGACAATTCATCCTACAAGTGAAACATATCCCAACTTGTGGTTTGTAATCTTTACCCGATTTTCCATTATTTTCAGAGAATTCTAGAAAAAAATTCATCTCATAAAAAGAATATATCCCAACATGCCAAATGAATTTTTCAATGAATTCTGAAAACGGGCTAAATTGTGTCCATTTATCTTAAAATTGGAATAAATTATAACTCGGAACATCCCTCATTTTCGGTTTTTTTCTAATTAATTCCAGAAAATCGGTGTAAATTCTGAGAATTCATCCCGTATGTGGAATGCATTCTAAGTTTCCATATCCAGTCTTCAACCCGATCTTCCATTTTTATTTCAATGAGTTCCAGAAAAACGGGGTAAGTTATGAGAATTCATACCGTAAGTGGAATATATCCTAAGTTGTCATATTCAATCTTGCCCCGATTTTCCATTTTTTGACGAATTAATTCCAAAAAAACAGGGTAAACTCTGAGAATTCATGCTACAAGTGGATATTACCCGAAGTTCCCGAATGCCATCTTTGCTCAGATTTTCCATTTTTTTCGTGAATTCTAGAGAAGCGGGACAATTTCTTAGAATTCACCCCGCAAGTGGAATATAACCTACTTTGTCATGTCAAATCTTTCCTGATTTTCCATTTTTTAGTGAATTAATTCCAGAAAAACAGGGTAAACTCTGAGAATTCATGCTACAAGTGGATAGAACCTGTAGTTCCCATATGCCATCTTTACTCTGATTTTTCAATTTTTTTCAAGGAATTATGGAAAAACGGGGCATATTTTAGTAAATTATCCTCCAACTGGAACATGTCCTATTGACCTGCCACATCTAATCTAGTTTACCCCGATTTTCCATTTTTTTCAATGATTATAGAAAAACGGGATTCATTCTAAAAAGTCATCCTCCAAGTAGAATTTATCCTACTGACTTGCCTTCCATTTTTTTTCAATAAATTCTAGCAAAACGGGGTAAATTCTGAGAGAACATGCTACAAGTAGATAACACCTTTAGTTCCCATATGCCATCTTTACCCCAATTTTCCATTTCTTTTTCAGCGATAAATTCTACGATTAGCACTAATCGTTAGCCCCCAAAATAAGGCAACGCACAATAACTTAATATGTATTTAGACGTTTTCTATAACGCCCGCTTTCAGTTTTTATTAACTTCCATGGAAATTAAAAACTTAGGCACACCAACGTGCTATGTACTGTTCCCCGTTAATTGTAGTCATTCTCTAAACAAGTCTCAATTAGACACGAAACGCGTCGGAAATAAACGAGGAGCTTACAATTACAAGAAGAGTTTCTTTGTGCGGCTCGCTAGTCTTACTTAAAAATGAAAAAAAAGAGGAAAAAATACAAATTTTATAAAAAAGTTTCTTTTCTCAATGAATTCTAGAAAAGCGGGATGAATTCTGAGAATTCGTCCTTCAAGTGGAATAAATCCTAGGTTGCCAAATCCAATCTTTAATCCGATTTTGCATTTTTTTTCTTTTTTTCAATGAATTCTAGAATTACGGGGTAAATTTTGAGAATTTGGCCCGCAAGTAGCTAATACCGTAAGTTCCCATATGCCATCTTCACCCCAATTTTCCATTTGATCAGTGAATTTTTAGAAAAAAAAGAGGTAAATTGTGGATAATACCCGAAGTTCCCATATGCTATCTTTACCCCGATTTCCCATTTTTTTTCTGAAAATTCTATAGAATAACGGGGTAAAATCTGAGAATTCATCCTTCAAATGGAATAGATCCTAGGTTGTCATATCCAATCTTCAACCTGATTTTCAATGCTTTTTTCTCATCGAATTCTAGATAAACGGGATAAATTCTGCGAGTTCATCCCGCAAGTGATAGCAATATGCTAAGTTCCCATATGCCATCTTTACCCCGATTTTCCATTTGATCAGTGAATTCGAGAAAAACGGGGTAAATTCTAAGCATTCATACTACAAGTGAATAGTACCCTAAGTTCCCACATGCTATCTTCAACCCGATTTTCCATTTTTTTTTCAATGAATTGTAGAAAAACGAGGCAAATTCTGCGAACTCATCCCGCAAGTGATTGCAATACGCTAAGTTCCCATATGCCATCTTTACCCCGATTTTCCATTTGATAAGTGAATTCGAGAAAAACGGGGTAAATTCTGAGCATTCATGCTACAAGTGAATAATACCCGAAGTTCCCATATGCTATTTTTACTCCGATTTTCCATTTTTTTCAGTGAATTTGACAAAAAACAGGGTAAAATTTGAAAAGTTATTCTCCAAATGGAATAGATCTCAAGTTGCCATATCCAATCTTCAACCCGATTTTCCATTTTTTCCCAATGAATTCTAGAAAAACGGGATAAATTCTGTGAAATTCATCCTTTAGGTGGATTCTATCCTATTGACTTTCCATAGCCACCTTTAGCCCCATTTTCGATTTAATCATTGTGTGAATTTGTCATAAATCGGGTGAAATAGGACAAATCCACCCAAAAGTGCCATGAATCCTACAATAATTTAGAAACAGTACTAAAAAAAAACCAGCTAAAATCAGCGGAACCGCAATAAAATCACAATCTACTACTTCAATTTTTTTTAACGGAGGGCTTAGTGCGATACGGCAAAAACCAACAGTACTCAAAATAAACAACTGAAGGCCAAACTTCTGTGATTGAAGGACGACTTCGTGACGCAGACAAATAATCACAACTTGGACTTCTCAGTCGATCTCACCTCCGGCAGATCAGGTGAAGTGTCAAAAATATATAATTTTATGTCGACGAACCATAATCTATGATCTTCAACTATTAAAGAAAATAAAGCAATTGTGATATGACGCCACATTGTGCTTTTGTCTTAGCTTGTGGCTAAAATGTTGTCATTGAAGTCGCAAGTCGAGCAATGAAGACTGTAAATAAAGCAAGGCTGCAAATAAAACGTGAACAATAACGCATCCTTTGGTCGAAAGTCGCTTTGTTATTCACGCGCAGCAAATTGTTCTTCCAAGTTTAGGTTATGACAACGATACGATCACTCTGCGTTAACGAACGATTGAACTTCAAGGAAAGCAATATGAGAGGCCAATGATCCGGTTCGCAGTGATCATGCGAACAGCATGTTTTCCTGAGAACCGGAAAATACTGGTCAAATTTTCCACTTATCCCGACCCCCTTGAATGAGTACTTTTGCTTGAAGACATAACTACAACGGAGTCTCTTAACCAGTCCCAAGCCGCGTGTCGCTCGATAGATCGCAGGATATGATTGGCCACTGTATCACATTACGTCAGAGGACATATCTGCAATAAGAGGACATAAGTGCAACGGTACACATCATCATCTGTCGAGTCTTCAGCCTTCAATGACAAGTCAACATCTCTCTCTGGGGCTAAGAAAATAAATGAGCAAAGGTTATACACCTCATTTTGAAATGATCCATTATCACGGAGTTCTACTTTTTGTCGTTCACTCACCAAAGGCCATCACCATCGAGCAGGTCATTCTTATCCGCACTGCAACACGAGTGTTTCCTTGTCAGCGAGAGAGTTTGAAAGAGACAGAGGTCTGTAAACGGGTTTGACCCAGACCTCTCCCACAACTTTCGCCTCCCTCAAACTCTCTTTGGCGCTGCAGTGCTAACCATGAAGACCTGCTCCTAATACAAAGGCTATTCCTTAGGATGTAAGGATCAGTACTAAGAGAGTTTAGGAGAATCTTAACCTTTCAGCGGTTTTGATATTATATTTGCAAGCTGCAGCATCTCTTCATGTAATCCGTTTAAAATGCAGCTAAGAAACTCTTGAGCATCCTCCTGTCGGCCCTATAAGAGATTTCAACAAGTTACCCCAATATTTCATTTAAAAACCATAGATAGCTTGTGATCAGTTTCTTCTGAGTAAGTTTTGTGAAGAAAAGAAGTTTGGGAACCCTTTTTCCAACAGGTCTGAGTAGCTCGGCAAGAGATTTTGGCTAATCTTTCGCGGGTGGTGGTGGTGGTGGTGGTGGGGAGGGGGTGGGGACTATTTGTTTGCTTATTTGTCTTTATTTGTGGCCAGCGTTGAGGAGAGTGAGACTATGATTCATGACACATTTGTGCTCTCAATCCCCACAAAACAAGTCAACTAGACTTCTTGATCATGTTTATCCCTTGATGTGGAGCAGGCAAGATTTTACAGCAAGAAGAACCTTGGACAATTGAGAATTTGAGAGGTGACAGGGTGTGTCCTGCCCAATAAGGTCTCAACCACCTTGTGATACTTCCATTAACACATTTCTTATCCAATTTTGCTGTCCCCTCACTTTTATGTTATAATAATTGAGAAAAAAAAAACCAATAAGAAAATTGATGTTTTGTTCCAAACAGCAATATTTACACACACACACATGTACACACAAAATAAGAGTGCAACACTTACAGTCCATACTTGATGTCCCCTCGTGGAAATATCTGGACTGCTAGTGCAACTACATCAAGTTCAAGACTGTTTACTTGGACAATGACTGACTACAAAGCAGACAGATAGAAAGACAGACACACAGATAGACAGACAGATAGACAAAAAACAAACACACAGATAGACAGACACACAGATGGACAGTTAGAGAGACAGAGAGAGAATCTTTAGAGGTATCTACCTGCAAATTTCTTGGCAAACTTGTCCTCTTCCACAGTAACTGGAATCTGTAATGTATCATCTGTCTTTTTAGGATTTGAAGTTGTTTGCATTTCATTTCTCACAACAGGACTTACTGTTTTAACAACAATACCAGGTAATGGTTTTGCAGAGTTTTTGAACAAGTCTGCCCATGATGAAGGCTTTGGAGGCTGATCTTTCCTGCCTGTGATTTCTTCTGGTGCACCACTTGTTTTTACACTCTGATCCACTGGGATGGGACCTTCATGTTCTTTTTCCAGGTTTTTATAGGTTTGATTAGAGCTTAAGGGATCTTGTGCAGTGCTGATGGAAACTGTAACTTTAATGTCTGTGTCACTGTAAACAGGGCTGTTTGATGTGCTTTCTGTTGATAAAGAACTCTTCCTTTCTTCCACAGTGTCTCCATCGCAAGAACTTGTGCTTTTTCTCTGTACAGCTGTTCTTTTGTCTGTGTTAGAGAGAGCATCGGATTTTTGCTCCTTTAACCTTGCGCTCAAAACATTTACCTGTACTTTTGAAGCTTCTTTAACATCATCACTGAGAACAACTTTATCTGTAGTAGGTAAAGATGCCACAGCTTTTCCTTTTAGCCCAGAGCCATTGGAATTAACTGAAGCCCTTTCCTTTTCACTACATTCACTAGAAGAGCTGGACACAGATCTAGACCTCTTTCTCTGTCTCCTTCGCTTGCGCCGTTTTCGTGATCTTTCAGTCTCTGTCTTCTCCACTGCTCTCTGGGTGTTCACTGTTAATGACAAGGGAGGGAAGTGGTCAACATCAGCTGCTGAAGTTCTTGAGGGACTGCAAAATAAAACAACAATTCTTCATTTAACAATACATGTATTTGTGAATTTTCTCAACTTGAATTGTAATCTATAAAGTTACCCTATACTTAAAAATTATGTAACAACTAATCCCCCCTCACATGTTGTATAAGAATGGAACATAATCAAAATAATCGAATAAAATAACATATTATATGTAGCAGTGAACATAAACAAGGTAGTTTTCATGTGTTCTGTTTGCAGAGAAAAACTCAGAATTCACATTGCTGGATCCTGTAAAAAGATGAAAACCACAAAGATGAGTCCTTGATGTAATAGGGATAAACAGTGAAACCCTCAACTCACCTCTGATGCTAGGGTGGCCAGGATCAAGAATCAAACACCTTTTGAAATGCAGTAATTTTTGTAATATCAACTACATTGATAATGTAAATTGGCCACTGTTAAGAAGTTCAAAGCTGACATTCTGAGTGTTAACCCTTTGTGAGAGCCCTTTAAATAGCCATTCGCCAATTCAAGTTATGTTATCAACTCAGTTGATGATGCCAAATCACCTTGTTATACCATTCCTCTGATGCAGCACCACAGTTTCTTAAAAACTTACCTCCTATTATACCTTTGTTACTTGTCAAGTATAGAATTCATTACTTAAAAAGTACTTTGCACTAAAGAAACATCCCTTGAAGAAAGATGCCACAAAAATTGACCACCCTCTTTCCAGTGAAACTTCTATGAAGCAGCCAAGGGACTTAGGAAGACTTTTTATTTTGTTATTGAATTAAAGCTTTTTGAGCTGTTGGTGTTGCATGAACTTTTCTAATAATTTTAAGAATTCAGTAAACATTTTTCTGATATTAATTACATAAAAAGAACCATAAACCAGAAATGAAAAATTTTCATGTCAAAGAGGATTTTTAAGCTACTCCTCTACCTTTCAGGTTTGCTTTGCCTCACATCTTGTTCATGCTCTTTGATGCTGTTTCCACCAAAAACAATATGTTCAGAGCTACTTTGTATGGTTTTCTCTGATGATTGTTTGACTTGTTTCTGTTTTGCTTCTGGTAAACAATCACCTGTACCAGCTGTTGTTTTCGCCAATTTTCCTGTAGATGTTTCCTGTTCACTTTCTTGTCCCACTTCAACACCTGAGTCTTCAAGACCTGCCGTAACATTTTTAGCTGCCGCAGAACTGTCATTTGATGAGACATGTGTTGAGGAGTCACCAGCTACAAGGCAAAGAACCAAACATGTTACCTTAAATGTGGATATTAGAGCAATATTACCTCTACCACTTCCAAATCTGATTTGTAATTCTCCTTACTGTCTGCCTTACAATTCTCATGATATTAGTTTGGAGAATTTGGTATTGGATTGGGTAAGAATACTCTTAACTTATCTTTTTCTTTTTATCTCATCACTTGTCTGCTTGATATTGTATTGTACGGAAAAATTCTGTCTTGGTCACTTATAGAGGGGGATATTCAGGGGTTCTGAACATTGCAATACAGTTAAGAATTTGTTAATGAATATTTAGTCAGGTAATTTTATTTAAGTCTGTTTACAAAAGAATCAGAGTCTGGAAAAGGCTTGAGAAACAGTGGAGGACTAGAGAGTGTAACCTGTATCCTGCACGTTAGGAGAATACCGCAATAATGCAATTCCAGATTAATGAAATGACTGAAATACCAGGAGAAAAATTGTCCAAAATCCCAAAATCACAAACTCCAATGTTCCCCTCCTCATAGGAGAATTAATGCTGTGTTGTGCATTGATGCTTCTTGTATGGTTGCTTTTGGGAAAATTAAGAGATCTGCTCCAATAAATTTATAGTTTGTATGGAAAAATAAGGATGCAAAATTTCAAATCACTTTTGCTTTCGAAGGTATCAAATGGATACGTACAATCTTAACTATACTAGAAACTGAAGCTTGGATAAACATCCCCTGAAACCAATGGTGTGCAGTTACTCACTCTGTGCGCTTACAATATATCTTTGTTAACTCAAAAAGCAATCCTCATCCATTCTGAGTAAAATCTAAATGACAACCGCCACCTCAATTGTTGGTTGCTTTAGAAAATTAATTGGAATGTACAAAGCTAGAGATTGCATTCATTTATAACCTTTTCCAACATAAAAGACAATCTAACAGCAAAACAAACACAAGCACTTAAAAAACTTTTAGCACCAACAACAAGATAAATCTTAAAAACACTGACAAAGGAATCACTATTGTTAGAAAAGATACTAAACATAAAATTCAGGAAGGTTACAAACAAGTCCCTAATGAGAAATTCTATAACCCCCTAATATAACCAATAGTATCTGAAACAGTCACATAAGTCAAAAAAATTTGTCAACACTCTGTTTACTAGAAGGCATATTGATGACATGACCTGTAAGTGGCTCAATTTAGGCCAAAACCCACCTAGAATACCAGAATTTCACACACTGAAATCAGTTAAAATCTCTCATCACAACAAAATTTTGGGAGACCTTAAGAGACTGCATCTTGAAGAAAACTTTTTCAATGACAAAGACAAACACTATCGAGAAACACTTGGAATAGCTATAGGAACAAAAAAATGGTAATAGATAGAGGTCATGTTCATGGCTCATACTTAAAAACAGGTACTAACTACAAGCCCACCTAAACTATTTCTTTAACCCTTTGACCCCTAGGAGTGACTAGCATCTAATTTCTCCCTACAATGTCAGCCCTGAATCACACAGTAAGGTCAGGAGAATAAAGTAATTGACCATCAACTAATTAAGCTCTTGATCATTAAACAAATTCTCTGTATCAGCATCTTTGGAAATGTATAGAGAATAGTAGGGAGAATATGCATACTGATGTTAGGCTGTAGAGGGTTAAAAAGATACATTCATAACACTTTTTAAGGTGGACCATTCCTGAAATTGAAATCATCAATTTCATTGATAACACTAACTCATTCCACGCCACTATTAAATTCATGTATGAATTGTCATCAGAAAAAATGGTTTTCCTCGATACTGAAGTTTTTAAAGGACCTAGATTTACCAAAAGAAAAATTCTTGATGTTCAAACACATTACAAGCTGAAAGAAACATGCCAATATACTTGATCCCTCCCTTTCAATGTTAAGAAGAGTTATGGTAAAGGATACGCACTACACTTACTGAGAACAAACTCAGTAAAAGAATCTTATGACTAAAAGAAGAAAACTTCATAGAATGTTCTTATAGAACAAGGCAAGGCTCAGGACCTTGTTGAAAAGACCCTAGCAGAAGTACAATTCTTATCATGCAACAAGGCTTTAAAAAGCAAACCAAAAACATCTAAAAAAGATTTTGTTGTTCATTACAACTTTTAACCCTACTGACCAGAATCTTAAAAAGATTCTTATGAAACACTGGCACCTTACTTCAGGCCATGAAAACCTGGCGTAAATATATCCATCCCCCAACTGTTGCTTATTGGAAGGACAGGTTTGTATAAGATTCCCTTGTTAGAGCACAACTTCCTTCACTTAAATTAAACAACAGCATTTTTGAAGTTATACACTGTTAGGGTCTGGTGACAATACTACAACACTATAACTACTTGTGATGAAAACTTCCTAATAGCAATTAAAATATCAGAGGTTGTAACATTTAGGATTTGTACTTGCTGCAGGGCATAATTTTAAAAGTTGTAATCCACTTTGTCTCACTCATCAGTTTCCAGTAGTAAGAAAAAATCAAAACAATATATATTTAAATTACGCTGACCATCAACAAAATAAGGAAACGGGTATTGTCACTGTCTGCACATGACTGGGTGTTTAATATTGTTTACTACCATAATCATTGATAGTATTTCGACATTTTTCCCCGGCCTCTCCCTCTTGACTCCTCTTCGATCCGAACATTACACATTCAAGCTCTATATCACACAAATTTAAAATTTGAACTCAAGTTCCGTCATAACAAAGACGAACCGGAATATTACTCATATTTGAAAATAAACAACCCTCACCATAACCATTCGCTAATTTCATTATTTCTTACGAACAACATGGAGCGCCTCACAAATTAAATGTCGATGTAAATTTTTAAAATAGTGTTGTTTACCGAGTGTGGATGCTCGCGAGAAGATAAATATGAAAGTATTAGATACATACCTAAAAAATTATCGCCTCGTTCCTCGTCATCTGAGTAATTAAAGTTGAAGAGAAACTGCAAAATAGAAAATCTCAGTGAAACAAAAAAAAACCAACGCGAGGAACGATCGAAAACTAAAGCGTGAGTAAATATTGTCTCGACGTGAAGTATAACATAAACCTAAAAATAAAAACAATTTCCCAGACGTAGGTATAATAAAAAGATCTAGTAAGCTAATTTTTACCTCAACCGGTGGTATATTTCCAATTTGAGCTAATGAATTACTGAAGTATTTTTCCCATTCTTCAGCTGTGAAATCGCCAAACGTAAAACCCTGAGACACGCAAGAACAAGAAATTTTAGGACACGTCTTGGTTGAATTCAATTCCGTTTGTACAACAAGTGATAACGAGGAATATAAGGCAAATCTGCCATTTTTCTTACCTCTTCCGAATTACGCATTTCTTGAGCCACAAGAGTGCTCAATTAACTAGCACTCAAATTCTCCATTGGACAAAATTTCCCTTAAAAACCCTCAACCTGAACACATCAATTTGCTTCTTCCATTTTGCAAGACAAGCGCATGAGCTGTGAGAACTTGTGACGTCAGTTATCGTCCCTATCCCGTGGAATCCCGAAACCTCACGAAATAACATGAACCGGGATATCATTGGGCGCACGATCATAACATCGTTGCTTTTTCTTTTTTTTATCATCGAAACAGCTGACCAATTTTGCGTGTACAGGTGTATGCTGGTAGGAAGTCAGTGTCAATATGAAAAAAAGAGCTCTGCTGATTTACAGAATTTGCAAAGGAAAAATGGTTGCATTCAGAGCCGAAAATGACTGGAATACCAAATTAGCTTAGTATGTTCCCAGCTTGGGTAGTGTGTTACTTTGTCATTGGTGTATTTTTGGGGTCGATTCCTTGAAGTCTACGTAGTTTTCGTTCTTGCCCTTCTATTCTATTGAATGAAATAAAAATAATCCGAGAGCGCATGTGGTTACTGGTACAGCACAATTCTTAAAGAACAAGCTAAAGGTTGTATGATGACGCTAGAAGGTAGTGTTGCAGAAAATTTGTAATCACACGCAAAACAGAAAACCCACCGCATCCCACATATTTAAGAGTACCCTGTTCCACGAGAGAAAATTGATTCAAGAATATAGGGGTTAGCTCGAAAGCCTCACGGTTCCCCTATCCTCTGGGCTCCAAAAATAATAAAGCTATGCTTCATTTAATTTTGCCTTCTGGCAGGTTCTAAGCTTGCTGTGAGCTAGTCAAACTCGCAAAGAAATTAACATGACGATCAGAATTCTCCTCTTCCATGTTTTCTGCTAGCTGATGGTTGATCTACATCCAATTTGGTTAACAAGGAAAGCGCCCAGGGTTCACTCAGTCTTTCACTTGAAGCGGTTAAATATAACATTTATCAACAATTTTTATTTCTTGCACCTAAACAGAAACAAGACACCAATCTGGTACGCACTAAAAATAAAGAAAATTTGAACCAGCCGACACATTTATCTGTCCATTTCAGTTTTCTATGTCAGTTTCCGATATCAGAAAGAAAATGATGGCGTGCGTGAATAAACCATTGACAGCCGGCGTAAGTTTGCCAATAGTTAAATCGTATTTTTGGCATAATCAAACTTAAAAATCTGACACAATCTTTAACCGGAAGTCCACAACCAAAGCTGTAGAGCAAATTTGATCTCATCGAAAACAGCGAAAATACAAACAATACTGAAACGATGGATTTTCTCAAGGAATCACTTGCACCAAGAACCTTCAACAAAATTAGCTATGCCGTAGTTTTAATTTGGTTCGTGATCAGTGTAATTTTCTTTGGCATTTTTGCCGAAGTGGAAAATACCGAATCCAGGTACGATTTCCGTTGCGGTGGCACCAAGAGTGAAAACATCGACCTTATCCGTGGGGAATGTTTCGAAAAATACCAGAAGCAATACAACAAGTACGGTGTTCCTGTCTATGGCTTCGTGATCATCAATTTCCTCCTTATTGGAATTGTGTGTTATCTACTCCCAAATAGTGAAAAACGCAGTCGATCATTTGTCGTCGAGCAGTCGTAACAGTGATCCAGAGAGCGGACAGTCGCGCGACCAAGAAAACCCAACAGGACAAACAACAAATTGCGGACACAAGCTTTTCATAGCTTACTGTTGTCAACTATCTACGAGACTTGTTCTAGGAGTTCTCTTCATATTGCTGCAAACTCAGTTGCTTTATCCTTTAAAGTTTTCCTCCACGTTTGAATGTTACTTGAACTCTGGAACCAATCAGCCGAGGAATTCATCGAACGCCGCCCCAAACAGTACTTTACACAAATGTCACAATCAACGAGCGATAAAGAAAACCTTTTGGATGAACGCTGTCCTTGCAGTGAATGGAACTTTTGACGCTGGCATTCTGATTGAAATCGTCTATATTTTGACACAGGCATGGATAGAAAGGAATTTTATGCAAGACTCAGACTTCCTAAAAACCCATCTAAATGCTAACTATGACAAGTCGCATCAAGAAAGTAAGGAGCAAGAAGGAAGAAGACAACATGAAATTGTTCCACTACAGCTAAGAGAGCCGGGAAACCGTCCGACCCGGGTCGAGTTGCACCAAGAATCTCAAAAGCAGGATGATGTTCTACTTCAGCCAAGAGAACATGAACGTCCTCCGATCCAATTCGAGTTACACCTAGAACCTCGAAAACAAGATGCAGTTGTCCCACTACAGCCACGAGACCAAGTCGTGCCGCATCATGTTCTTAAACAGCCAGAAGAAACGAGCGGACATGATAAGCCTGAACAGCTTCAACCATTCATCGCACGAACGAAGAAAATCATTAGAGAAGACACTCAATACCTCTACGAACTCCAATCACCGTTTCGACGTCCTCCAGGCGAAGAAAAAGAAGCCACAGATTTGACTTTGGACCAGATTTATACAAACCTTGTGATCATTCCCAATAGGGCTCAGTACAACTTTACTACAGACAGACAAGAGCAACTCAAAGTTTATCCAAGGTCGCGCGACGAAGAATCACATCCGAAAAGCCTGGCAGACCTCCTTAATGATAAAAATAAGAAAGTATTGATTGTCGGTCGCCCCGGAATCGGCAAAACATTATGTTGTATCAAACTTCTCAGAGACTGGGCATTTGAGAAAGTCAAATCCCAAATCCAATTTGATGCTGCTTTCTTCGTAAAGTTCAGAAGATTCAACTCGGCAGACGACCTTAGCCTTAGGAACTACTCACTCGGTCAGAACATTCCACCTCAAATCACCTGGATGATGAGGTCTGGAATTACATCCTGCAGCACCCTGAAGGTGTCCTCATACTTTTTGACGGATTTGACGAATTCAAAGATAACGCAAACATGGCCGTGGCACCTCCTCATCCCGGAAGCATTAAAGACAAGATGCCGCTCCAAATCCTTTATCAGTGGCTTGTGACCGGGGAACTTCTTGAAGATGCTTCAATTGTAACGACTACGAGACCTACGGC